GCATCCAGCAGAATTGCTCAGTGTTAAGAATTGAGAGCTAGAAATCATTTTTGAATTTTCCCAACCATGCTAATGGTAGCTGTAGCTCAGTGACAAATTTTAATTATTGTTGCATTCATCTCCACTTTCTGAACGAAGAGTAATCTATCCTCTTTTTGAGACCTATACTTCTTTATAAACCATGCTGAGGTCATATCACCTTGCAATAAAAAATCTGCAGGAGTCGATGGGTGCCTGTTAACTCTGTGCCTGGCATTCAAAGTCATGCCAAACAGGTCCATTATGAATTTCCCTGTACTCCTCCTCTTTTTGTTCTAGCTGTTCACTTCCTACTCTAAGCAACCTAAATTATACTGCATACTTTCCCATGTTTCTTTCTTTTCCATGTAGGCATTTATCTTGGTTGGGGTTATAACCCACCCATCCTACCTCTGTGTTCACATTTCATCTAGAAATTTATCCAATAGAATCCAAGACAAAAGCTTCATAAAACCACAGCCAGAAGCCATCGTTCTTTCTCTAAGACCTTTATACATCATTTTTCACATGAGTTCTATAGTTAATTTCCTATATTTTATTTACTTTCATACTTATATAATGTCTTTCAAAAATTCATAATCTTCTTAAAGGTAGGAGCTCCATAGACTGTGGCTCGAGGTCTTGAAATTAGTAAGTGTGAAACAAAATCTTGCTGAATAAATGAATGTGTAATCACTCTTGTTCTCCTTTACAATCACATAAAGGTGTAAAGGATCAGTAGAGACAAGTATGTCTATATGACTATAGTAATTATAGGAGTATAAATATAGGTATCAAACCCTTCAACATTAAGAATTAAAAATAAAGATCCAGAAAGTCTGACATTATGGCATGACCTTCCAGATTCACATATTCACAGAAGAAATAGTTCAATAGTTCACACTACAGCAGTTACCAAAATATGTCATAATTGGAAGTAGGGTTACGATATTACATTTTGATGCAGAACACTGTTTCTACAGGGTTAAAAGAGATCTATTCGTGCTCTTATTTTGGGATTCTATAACACAATTAAAAAAAACCAAATGGTTCTTGCAATATTAGTCTTTTGATATATTCCATGAACAAAAGAGACTGCGTTCAAATATGTTGGAGAAACTATGCAAATTATGCCTTCTTCTTACAAGTTTGTAATATAAAGTGATATATTAAAGGTTTCCAAAAATTAGATAGCTTTTAGAAAGATTGTTTAACCTTGTTTTACCCTGTCTCTCAGTTATGATCGTCCTTGCAACAGTCTGTTTCATAAAACTATATATATTCCAAGGAAAGAGTCTTCTATGGAATTTTTAAAAATTTCTTCATTTAATATTTATACAAAATACTTACTTTTATATGTAAGATATTACTTGACTTCAAAACCCAAAAGATCTGTTTTAATGCCACCATGAGGGTTAAGCATTTATAATACTTTACTTTTTGTTTATAAATGATCAAGCTGCTGTGACGTGAGTGCCAAGGCACAGGTAAGAGGTAGGCCTGCAGCTTTGCCCACTGTTTGTACATGTATATATGTGATACGGTTAGGCTGTGTCCCCACCCAAATCTCATTTCTAATTGTAATCCCCATGTGTTGGGGAAACAACTGGTGGGAGGTGATTGGATCATGGGTTTGGTTTCTTCCATGCTGTTCTTGTGATAGTGAGCAAGTTCTCATGAGATCTGATGGTTTAAAAGTGTGGGACAGTTCCCCATCGCTCACTCTCTCCTGTCATCATGTGAGACATGCCTGGCTTTCTCCTCACCTTCTGCCATGATTGTAAGTTTCCTGAGGCCTACCTAGCCATGAAGAACTATGAGTCAATTAAATCTGTTTTCTTTATAAATTACCCAGTCTCTGATAGTTCTTTATAGCAGTGTAAGAATGCACTAATACAATGTGGAACACAAGTAATAGGAGAATGGGAGTATGAAAGTGTCCCCTTGCACTTTAGCTGTTAGCAAAAGTGGAAGCAGGGTCTAAATATGCATTTATTAAATCTCAAAATCCATTTCTGCTGCAGCATTTTTTCCCTTGATTATATTTGCTTCATTCTTCAATTCTTTCTTGAAAAACTGCTCTGGTTCATATATACTCCACTTGTTTTTTATGATGATTTACAATTCTGTTCTAAGTCTTCCAAATATATTTATTATAAATTACATAATTGCATTTCCATAATGTTGTATAACACACTTTGCTGCCTCATCTCATACCCTGTAGAACTATATTAAGTCAATAACATGATTATAGCTTAAATTTTTTAGTGTTCTAGTTACAACATTTAGTTACAACTATCAAACAATAACAAAATGTATGATAACATTTACAAGATAAATTTAAGTGCTTTAAATTTATATGTACTTTTGTTTTGAGTGGTGCCACATAATTAGAATATAATCCAATATGCAATAAAATTTTGCTGAAAAAAATGAATGCCTAAGTCATTCTTGTTCTCTTTTACATTCACATAGAGGTATAGAGAATTATTAGGAATAACTATAGCAATATATCAATATATTTAAATATCCATGTTTTCCTATATGTTGATATATTTATAAACTGAATAATCTGTACTTACAAAATGTGATTGTAATAAGATTAGTAACTAAAATGAAAAATGAAGGGTCCTCCTGATAATAAATTTTGAAAATGCTTCACTAATAAAACCATCTTTCTACACAGCCATCCCGAAAATTCTAATGCAACAAAATAGTAAGCATAGTCTAAGATTTAGAATACCATAATGCTGGTGCTATGGTTTGGATGTGCTTTGCCCCCACAAAAACTCACGTTAAAATTTGATCCCCGGTTGGGCACGGTAGCTCATGCTTGTAATCCCAGCAGTTTGGGAGGCTGAGGTGGGCGGATCGTCTGAGATCGGGAGTTCGAGATCAGCCTGACCAACATGGAGAAACCACGTCTCTACTAAAAATACAAAAAATTAGTTGGGCATGGTGGTGCGTGCCTGCAATTCCAGCTACTCAGGAGGCTGAGGCAGGAGAATCGCTTGAACTCAGGAAGCAGAGGTTGCGATGATCTGAGATCATGCCGCTGCACTCCAGTCATTGCACTCTTGTTCCAACAACAGCGAAACTCCATCTCGAAAAAAAAAAAAAATTTTTTTTGATCCCCAATGTATCAGGGTTGGGAGGTGGGGCCCAGTGAAAAGTGTCTGGGTCATGGGGGCAGATCCCTCATAAACAAGTTAATGCCCTTCTGTGGGGTTGAGTTCTCACTCTTCTTGGTTTCTCTTTCTTGCGTCCTTCCTCACCATGTAGTCTCGTTGCACATACCTGCTCTTCTGCTTCATGCCATGAGTTGAAGCAGCTTGAGGCTCTCACCAGATGCAGCTGCCCAATCTTGGACTTTCCAGCCATCAGCACCTTGAGCCAAGTAAACTTTGTTTTTTTTTTTTTTTTGTAAATTACCTAGCTTTGGGTATTCTGTTACAGCTACAAAAATGGACTAAGACAGATATATAGGAATATGTTGTGAAAGTAGGAAAGAAGGTTTGGTCTGCAGCAATATCCAAATGGATTTATACAATAAATATCAAATGTCTAAACATGAAATACTGCTACACCTTTGGATAAAAGTGGCCAAATGAAATTTCTTTAGGTGTAAAGCCCTGTCTTTACCACTAACATACCATATATTTCAAATCCATAGAAAAGAAGGCTCAGTAATTCTGAAGATCTTGAAAGAAAATGTCAAAAGTTTGCAGAATTTTATGGAAAAAATAAATAATCAGGCTCATATTTGGATTCTTAAATTTAGGGACACTCCCAATATCAGAAAGCTAAATGGAGAATATTTGCCAACCCCATCTTTTCATTAGGGGAAGGTATTAATTAAACAAACACATTGCTCTTTTTCAGAGTGGCTAATGGCTCAATAAGAAAAAAATGCAACATCCTCTTGTTATTACACTTTTCATGGTCAGGGCAGACCATGGAAATATTAGTACACTGAAACTTGGAAAAATGGAACAGACTTCATAAGGAATAAAGCCAATTAGAGTATATGTAAGAGTTCCCTTTCAAAGGGAAAAGAAAACAATAGTATAGAATGAAGTGATGGTAATCTGCTGGATAAGAGTTTTTAACTGGCGCTTAACTCTACCCACAGCTGAACAACATAAAAACAGCAAATCTAACAGAGAATGTGATAATATAAAAACAATAGAAATGATCCAGATATACTCCTTATATTCCTCTCACTGGTAATAATGGTTTTTATGCAGAAAGTATAAAATACAAAACTATTAGTCATTGTACTATGATATTAAAGTGAAAACAAAGGGGTTTTATTTCCCCATTAATATCTTCCAGAAGGGCCGAACCTCAGAGTTCACAGTTCTGTTATTTCCCAAAGAGACATTAGGTAGACATAGGCTTCATCTAAATGGAATTGCCAATGTTCTAGATCTTTGCAATTAAATCGTTGCTATATTTACTTTGTTTTAAATTACTGGGACAAACATTAGCACTTTTGAATTACTGACTCACTGTCAATACTAGTGGCACTTTCTATTGTATGACCCAAAATAACAGGCAGGATTAGACTATGCCTCTTTTGATTTTCCTCTAAACAAAGATACCTTGTTTTGGGGTACATAATGAAACTCGCATGAAGGTAGAACAGGGTTTGGTATAGGACTGTTGTTAACGAAGACACACAGGTTTTCCTAGTTAGTGAAGTGTAACTACATGCTTTTCATAGTCCTATAATTAATAGGAAGGTATGTACTTTAAAATTGCAAACCTCATGAATGAATGAAATGGACGCCATCTTATTTTCAGGACCCTTTAGTATTACGACAATAAACTACAGTTGGTTAAGTCTTTGCTACGGCATATCCCCATGTCATGGCAGTTTACTTATAAATACTTGAAAAACCTTTTCCATGCAGTATTCATGAGATAGTGTTTGAAAGGAATACAGTGACACATGAGAAAACACACATTGGAAGACATAGTGAACCAAACTGGTGGTAAAAACATGACCTTCCTCCATAAGGTCAAATAGTTTTATTATGATTAAACACTACAATACAGTATATATCCATTAAAAAAGAAAACTCTATAATGTATATAAATTATTCCTTCAATTCATCAGTTCTTCTTTTCTTTTCCATTACAGCTTTGGTACAATGTGATTTAGTATATAATTTTTAAATACTTTTAGCATCACAAACTCAACACAAAGTACAAAACTAATCCAAATTGGGGATATTATAATCTACACAGTGGTATTCAGTGGTAGGAGAAAATCTTACCTTGATGAATTCATGTCACTAGCTAAGCTATAAAGGCATACCTAGCAGACATGACAGAAATATGCACCATTAACCAGCTAACGTGTATATTAGTCTTTGTTTATTTTTTTACAGAATACCAGCAGCAATCATTTGAGTGTTGAGTGAATACTTAAGTCCTCAGCCAGTTTTCCCACCTTGTTCCTCTTCCATCAAAGGCCATGAGAAATATCTGAAGAAATGTACCACAACCAGAGCTCTCAGAATTTGACCTGCCAACCGGCATTGCTCATACTCGCACAGTTTGTCCTGCAGCTAGCCGACATCACCGGGACAGTGCTGGAGGGGCAGTGTGGGCCAATCAGCCTAAGGTTGTTCTGAGGGGTGGGCGGTGTGACATTACAGTAAACAGGCATTCCAGTGGCTGGGAGTGACCCTTGACCTGCCTGGTTAGGTAGCATGATTGGCTGTTGGTATGACTGCTGGGGCAGTCCTTGAGAACCCTGGGTCATTGGCACCTGTAAAAAGACACAAGCAAGAACCCTGTATGAAGAGGCTACTTTTGGTCTGTACAATAAACAACATAGTGTCATGAAAAATATTCAAGCTTTTGAGTTAGACCTAACAGGTCATCAATTCCAACTCTACCATTTAGCGGCTGTTTCACATTAGGAAAGTCACTTAGCCCCTCTGATTCCCTAGTCCGTTGCGATAATGACATACATGCTTCAAAGTGCCATTGAAAGGATTGAAGGGATGGTGTACAGGGCCTGGCACACTGCCTGGAATGCAGCAGATGCTCAGAAGGTGTTAGTTCTGACTTCCCTTCTCTCTCGATGACCTCTAGAAACTATCGTCTAGATCTTCCACTCTGGGTTTCTCTCCGTTTGAAAAGCCATGCACCCTTTCCGATTTTACGCAAAGTGTCCTGGAGCCCTCCATAGTACGAAGGGCTTCTGTCCTGGGCACCCACTATACTCTCAACCTGCAACTTCAGAGAACACTTATTGTGGAGCTACAGGTAGAAGTCGATGCAACGTGAATCAGAATAGTAGGGTAGGGGTCCTAGGATAGGTCCTTTAGGGTCAGAAGCACCTGGTACAGTTAAATTTAATTATTATACCATTTCACTAACTCTTTATTTCTACTTCTGGGGTATTTCATAATATACAGCACAAAAGGATATATAACACTTTAAAAATGCTTAACTTGGGTTTAGTCCAGAGAGTGCAGTTGTTAGGCTCCAAAAATGCCCTTTAAATGAATCTGAGATGCCATATTAAAATCTCTTATAACTTAAATTTATGGAAAAATGAAGTTTATTTGGATGTGTACAAAAATGAATGGGAATTTGTCATGAAGACTTTCTACCAATAAGCAAAATGCAATAAAATTTCCAAAGATCTTTATGAATAAAACTGTAGACTAATGCATTTTCTTCCATGAATATGAAGTTATACGGAAATAAATTTAGCAGAGCATTCAAAAGCCACAGTAGTGATAGAAGCATATCTTTTGCATTTTCTACTTTTCTATTATAATCTTGATTCAAAGTAAATTATCAACAGTTATGGGCCAAGAACCCACTACCCAGTCAGCCACCCAAACCAGGGACATATCCACAGCTTCCACTTTGACAAATGCTACTTTATAACACAATTTTCCAAGCTGTTTATGAGCACCTGATAAGAAGACATGGTTGGGTAGGAAACCATCACGCTTTGCACCGGAGTTCCTTGTTGGTTATTCATCACGTTCTGACTCTGAGGTGGCTGCTGCACTCCTATTAGGCCTTGGAATCCCTGTTGACCAGACAAGACTGGCTGGTAACCTGTGAAGAAAAGAGATCTTTTGAACTGGTTGCGCCAGAAAGAACACAGAGATGTTTCATGGGGTAAAAGTACTAGTTCAAAAGGCAGCCTTCAGACATCTCAATCTCCACATTCAGAATGTGTTATCAGATGTTTATTCCATAAGAATGCATTTTTTCTTTCTTTCTTTCTTTCTTTCTTTCTTTTTTTTTTTTACTTCTAAGAGTGAACAAGATTATGGCTTTAAAAATTAACTGAAATTTCTATTGTTATGCAGAATGGTCTATTAAACACATGTGACAATGATAAATTTTTCATGACACAAAAACAGAAGACTCTACTTATACCAACTGACTACTATAAATTACACCTTTCATATTTGGCTTTTTCTTTGGTTTTGAGGATATTTGGAGAATTAACAGATTATCAAGTTATTTTAAAATTAAATTGACTCATTCCTTTACTATCCTCTTTTCCCAGACAATCGCATTTGACACATAGAGACCATCAAACAGCCCATTAACTTTGGATGAATTCTACTTTTTCATGTCCTAGTGAACCAAATGATTCGCTACACTGAGGAATTCACAAAAACCACTGCCTTAGACAAAAAGGCAACAGCAAGCGGAACGCATGTCATACTTTTATTCTGTTTCGCCACTAGCTTCTGAGAGAATCTTTTGGTAAAACACTCCAATATGTGACCAAGTATTAATACATATAATAGATAATACAGAATACAATATTCAAAAATTTATCTGTTCGTGTCTTTCTGGGTGGGTCAGTTTGTTAGCTTTCTTTTTTTTTTTTTTTAAAGTAGGCCAGAATTGATTTATTCCGGTTATTTAAATCCTCACTTCAATGAGTGGTTTCAAATGCATCCTTATAAAGGAAGCCTGTGGATTGCTCTTGTAAATGCTGGGTAGAAAGTTATGATTTAGGTGAAAATGACACAATGGTGGAGAAATGAAAGAGATTCACTTTATGCTGTATAATAAGTTCCTTCCAGAGCTCACATTATTAACCCTGTAGAGTACCTGAGAGTAAGTGGAACTGCTATCGTAATACAGTTCTCTGACAGAAAAGAATCTTTAAGATCCTAGATTTTCTTAACACAAATATGAACTAACTTTCACAATAGGATTTTGAAAATTGAAGCCGAAAGTTAAAAACTAGCTAATCAATATGCATTGTTAATAATCTATATATTGAGTGCCTCTGAGAGTCTTTATATGAAAGGACCACATTATATTATAGTCTTTATAGAAGACAACACTTAACTATCCTTGGATATACAAAATGTATCTTCATTCATTTCAGAAATATTATGAAAATTTGGCTTGCAAATAGTCACTGAATGAGGAGATTGGCTCAGTTCATCAAATGAGATAGAAGCAAGGCATCCTCGGTTTGGAGAACCGGAGAGCAAGCTTGGGAAAAGGCCAATTTGGGAGGTCTGACCTATGCCTACAATTGGCGAGCAGAACCAGTGTGTAATCTAAAAAGTTACCCTTTGACCTTCCTTATGTGTCCCATTGTTTTACATTCTTATTACTCACCGTAAATCATCTTCATAATGGTTTCAATTTACTGAATTATTTTAAATTATTGTAAATACACTACATATTATGAATATAATTAAGGGTAGTGACCACATTTCCTTAAGCTACATTCTGTCCACAGTAGACAGTCAGAACCTTCCTTTAATATGCTTGGCAGGTCCATTTAAGACTAATAAGATCAGCTCAGAGTTCTGCATAGCTACAGTGTTTGAAATCTATACAATAAGGAAAACCCATCAGATCTGGGAACAAGAAATGCGATTAATCCCACATTACAATTTTCACTACTTCTACTTCTCTGTTCTCATTTGCAGAGAGACGTGAGAGACAATTCTTTTGACATTAATTGTAGAAAATTGTTTTCGATTGTTTTCCATTGTCTGGGTCTCCCATTGTGATTCATACATCCAATTGCCCTGAACAATTCCAAGGCTATTTTACCATTTTATTATGACATTATTCCAAACCACATCAAGCTCTTTGTAGCATGAATTATTATATACATAAGAAAATAACTTGGGACGATCATAGAAAACTTATAACCAACAGACTTCCTTCTGATTTAGTTCTATAGCAAAGGGCAGGCAATGTACACTCATTCTCAAGTCCATATAATTGTGAATATAATAGGGCCTTACTTCTGGCTGAAGATTGAAAGCACAAGTTGAAAATGAGAGGAGTGCCATTTAGTACTTTGGATTATATTTGTTTATACACTGAAAAGCCAATTGGCCTCAATGGATCTTCACAGAATAGATACAGTTACAATGTAAACAAACAACAACAACAACAACAACAACAAAAAATGGAGAGGAAGGGAGGGAAGGAGAAGAAGAAAGTGGGGGAAAGAGGAGAGGGTTGCTTAGTGTCTGAAAATTATTTATGTATTTCCTTATTGAATCCTTCCATCCTTTCACAGCGGCATTTGTTTCAAAATAAATTAGGTGGCCTATGAGATTCATTTAACACACCACCTTCTAAACCAAAACTGGGTGAAGGGAAAATAATAGAGCTGTTAAGACATTCAGAAAGCAGGATGTCTTGGTTGGAAGAGGAAGCAATCCTTAATATCAAATAATATTCAAGGAGAGAAAAAGAGTGGGCAGGTTGGGTGGCCCCAACCCAGTAAAGGTGCAGAGCCTGTGACAGCAGGATTCATCTTTGCTGCCAGCCCAGATGCAGCTGCCCTGCCGCAGCATCTCCTTCTCCAGGCCTCCTCTGCCTGATGATTTGTAAACTTTAATATTCAGTTATGCATAGCAATGGGCTACCAGCTCTACATTGGGGTTCCCATGGTAAACACACTTAAGGCAAATGCAGATTTATGTGGGGAGTGAATACTTTACCAATTCAAAATGAAAACTTGAGTGTAAGGAGAGCCCAATTTGTATTCATGAATCCCATTTATTTCTCAATTCTCTCTCCAGGCAAGAAATTTACACCTGCAATGGTTTAATTGGGATTACTCATTTCTTTAAATTATGTCACAGAAGGTAGATCGCAGAATGATCTTTAAGACAGGCAGCTGTCTGGATGAAAATCTGAGTTCTGGTCCAGAAACAGACAAATAGAAATAAAACAGCAGTGACCTATGAATGAACCGACAGTGCCTGCCTGGAACACAACACACCCGAAGGCAGAGATGGCAGCACTGGTGGGAACTGCTTATCTTGTCTATTCAAATGAGAAATGTGTTCCAGTTTGTCAATTCTTAGCTGTGAAATGATCACTTTTTCATATTTATTGAGGATTAGCAAGATATAATGCATCTTACAAAACTGAAGCAGCAACAGTATCTGCCCTGTAGGCTTGCTAGGGATGACAAAGACATTAGCTACTTTTATTATTTCTTTTTCAGTCAAGATCGATTCAATTTTCAAGTCACATGTGTCATCTATTTTCTGGAGGTAAAAAGGTTAGGAATGGACAAATGCCTCCTAGCAAATAAAACAACGCACTTGGCAAAGATCGAGGAGTTTATAAGATTTAAAATGTCTGCATTGTATCAATCTGAAAATGGAATAGGTTTTCTACTAAAATACAACAGTTGCATAATATTTGTAGTTTGAGGGCATTTTGTTAATATTCAGTCAAGAAAACATTTATCTTCATGTAGCACAATTATGAACAATTAGAATGTAAATTGATTAGGGATTGTAGATTGGCATGGTTGTGACTGATATGATTTTAACTGTTACTTGAGTAGTTTTTTACAGTTTCAATATTTTGGAAATGAATGAAATGACAGACACAATAGTAGTGTCTATCTCTGCATTTCTATTATGCCTACTGTTAGTTATGGAGGTTGAAACAGGAAAGGGAGTATAGTGAAGAGGGCAAATTTCTATACCAAGCACATTTCTTCAGAAGCTGGCCAATTCTCACAGCCTCTCCTAATCCACCCAAGAAGCGTGATATACATGTGTTTATTAAACGAAGTAATCTTAATATGGTAGAATGCCTTTTCAAATGATTCGACTTAGCAAGCTGCTTCATATAAAAATTACTTCTCTTGAAGACAAGATACGAATATTTCTCCAAATTTCAAAGGAACCAGCAACAGCCTTGATTCTGAATCAAACTCTGCTCTTTGTACATGGTGTGAGGTAGAATTACAGTAGCTTAGCTTAATGGTATAGCTGGTGAAGAATATGAAGAAGAAAACTGCTTATCCAGAAAAGCCCTGTCCTTCAGCTGCGGTTTTACAGTTTGTGCATTTGGCCACTTTATAATATCTGCCTGGGGCTGTTTTCTTGGCTTCATGTCAATTCTTCCGCACTTCATCTTCTTTGAGGATTTTCCATTATAAACTAGCTATATTTGTTGATCACTTACTCTAAGCCAAACAGCGAATTAAGCCCTTGTTACGACAATCCTAGAAGGCAGTCAATATTACTAAACTCCATTTGCAGAAGAGAAAACTGTGACTTAGGAGGATATAGTAACTTGCCAAGGTCACACAGCTATTACGAGGAATTGTAGCTAAAATTTAAATGGTGGTTTTCTGACTTTGGCATCCTTGCTTTTCTGTGCTAAATTGTAGTACCATTTATTTATACATTCTGCTAGTTCACACAGCCCTCACATCATTCCTTTTATGTGGTAAGTATTCATTGACTGCTTATTACATTGCTTTCTCAACATTTAAAACAATTAAGTAAAAAAGATAAGAATTATGCTCCACAGTTGGGTGAACAAGATTTTATTAATATCAAATAAAGAAAAACAAGATAAATTAAAAGTAAAACATGATTACCTGTCAGAATTAACTCATATCACTCAATAACAGTTTAAAGGCTTGTTACTTAGAGAGCGAAACACAAAGTAGATAGTTGAGGGGTGAGGTATGGGTGGGGCTATTCAAACAGACTCTCGTCCCTTCATTTACTTCATTTCCAGTCAGTGATACTATAGTTTTTAATTACTAGGACCATTTCAAATAATGGCTTTTCTCACAA